CGTGTGCTCGTCACCTTTGTCTTTTGCTTGGGAGGCAAATACATATACATGGAAGATGTTATAAAATTTTTCTAAAACGAATCAGATAAGGGGTAAAATTTTGCTCGTAAAAAATACTTTATTAATTAGGAATATAAGTAACGTTAAAAACTTTTTTTTTGTAGAATTTGAAAGCAATATTTTAAAAAATTTAGACTGATTGTACTGATGAGATTCAGTAGTAAATAATTAGTGCGTTTTGACAACTGTAATTACACAAAACTTTCCAGATCGAAATGGTAGAAAAAAAACCAGGTTCATCACTGGTGGCATCTCGTTGTCCTTTAGTGATACAACAGAATTTCTTACACGAGCAATCGAATACGAAGACGAAAACTCGTTTGTATCGAAAATCAGTTACACCTTCTGAATCCCAAATTATGTATCCCTTCCGTACTGAAACTGAACAAGCTACGTACCAGTTGGCGCCGCCACTTGAAATATAAGTCCTTATCTCCACCTCCCATGCAGTTGTTAAATATTTAAACGAGACGCCTCCCCATTGCATACACATTTGTTTGCTCACTCACATCAAAAAGAAGTGGAGAGAACATTGATGTCGGATATCACGTGGATGGAATAAATCTGTCCAAGACTCAGAGCAGTGCGATTTATGAGTTCACGCTTACGGAATACTATCGCCATGCGAGGTATGCGTGCAGTCTGTTTTGTCTTTTTGTCTACCCGTCTCTGTTTGCAAATTCAAAAAAGTTGATGTATGCACCGACATGAATCAATTATCCATGAAACTAAAATCAATTAATTTCACTGCAACGTGACGTCCTTATAAACTCTGCGTGATGGAGATGCGTGCATTTGCTATCGGAGACTTGAGTGAAAAATCGCATACGTAGAACTAATTGATATTTGTTACGTTGATATTCAGAAAGTAAGGTCTTTTTTTAATTTTAAATGACTTTACTACTTTAATAGTTCTTAACAACATTTTTAGATGGTCGTTGAAAGACTCTAGATTTTTTATTTATTCAAATTATTTCAAGCCACACAAAGATTTTTAATTTATTTAAGACTTTAGAACGGCTATTTTAGAAAAAATATGAGTAAAATTTATTCTGCTTTAAGAAGTTATCTACCGGAGGTGGTTTTTTAACGTGCAACTTTGAATGAGATAGCTTAGTCGATTAGTTGAATAATTAAGGAAACTACTGCAAGTTTTTCAAAATAGTTCAATTTTGCTTTCGTTCTGATCAATTTTTATTTTTGCTTTTTCTGCGTTACTGTCATGGTATTGAATTGACTAAAATAATTGAACAAATTTATCGTAGTTTTGAAATATTGATTATTTTGAGTATTTCTATTTAGCTGCAAGTACCAATGAAAACGAGTACGCCAAGTCCTCATAGATCTTTCAAAGACTAATAATTTCGAATTACCTCGCGAATTACTATGAAATCTTTAAAGTGCGCGGGCTCATGAACACCTATAACATGTACTCAACTCTACGAATGACCGATAAATATGGAACTAAGAAATAGAATAGTACATCACGTCACTAGGAGCAAAGTAGATACTTCAGCGACCGAAGGATGTGGTTGTTGTACGTTTACGCCCGAGTTGGGTTTATTATTTTTCTTAAAGAAATATATTATACGTTAGACCAATCTTTACAGGCTTTTATTAGTCCATGTTTCGGTTACACTAATCAAGATACACTAAAATGTCCTAATTTTTTGAAATATTTTTTTTGAAAAAGGAGAAACTTGAGTTTGCAGTGACTCATTCGATTGAAAGCTGATCCTTGAATCAGCTTGAATTGATCGATTGAAAGGCTCATTATTTTCAAATATTATGCATATTTTATGGCATATAATGAACTCGTGTAATCGAAATCAGAAGTTTTATATGCTCAACTTTAGGGACCAGCCGTTGTAGACACAAATACTTATAAAACAGTCATTACTTTATACTGTATATTTTAAATATAAAACAACAAGTCGTTGTGCGTTAAATGTTTCAAAAAAATATGTAGGCCATTGTACCGAAAACAGTGTATTCCATGTCCCAGTCAATTACAAATTACAACGTCATGTAAGGAGATATCTACCTGAAAACTTTTTTAAATAATTGGAGAATCTTTTTTGCTAAAGGCACAGCATAATTTAGTATTGCTTTAGTTTAAGATAACAAACGGGGGCTGATTTATGGCGATACGGGCTCGTAGCTAAATCGAAAATTTAGAGTTTTGACAAAATCTAGAAGCATGGGATCTCAAAACAAAATTTTCGCGTATTTTAAAAGACCAAAAAAAAATGTATCCAAGATTTGGATGCTGTTAAAGTTGCGTGACCAAAATATCACAAATTCAGACGGTTTTTATTTTACAGAAATTTAGGATGTTGCAGGGATTTTTTTTTTTATTCTTCCATCACAATGAGCCAGTGCTACAGGCTCTCGGAAATTTGTACATTCGTTTTCCCCAAATAAAAACGAAAAAGCCCGTAACGCTAAATAATGTCACATATATATTTGAAGTGTTGGATTATCGACACGGAAAGTGGTGGGGTTAAAATATAAATGCTTTGTTTTTGAAGTTTAATTTGCATTTCGTATGTTAAAATATATTTTTTTCATAGAATTTGTAAGAGCCCATAATACTCCCGTAATGCTATTCCATAACGCTTTGTATCTTCGTTTCATGTTGGATTATCGACTCGGATAGGGACTTGTATATTTTTCGTAAATAAAAATAAAATAGTCGTAAAAATTTTTCTCGTGCAGATCCAGCAGGGTCCAAAAAATTTCAGCTCATTTTGGTCATAGACAATACGAAAAAGATATTTGAATAATTAAATATCCAATTCAAGTGTTTGTCCATTCCAGCCCTTCAAATATGCCAGTTTTTTTTTATACATTGCGTTATTCAGATCTATCCAGTAGTTGGTTTGGTGGAATGTTTAAAAATGAAATGCGTTACAAAATGCGTTACATTGTTTTATGATATAAAAATGACATAGCATGATGATGCTCGATCTGATTTTTTCTCTGAAAGAAGCAATTGGATAAAAAACTATTTGATATAAGCTTATATTAAATCAAACTGTATGAAATGTCAAACTGTAATCAACCAATGAGTAATTGAGGAGTGGCAGTTGGATTACGAAAACGTTTCTTCACTGTTTCTTGATTTGCTTTTTTTTCATGAACCTTAACAATATGCTTCTATGGCAATCGATACAAATCACAGAGTTTGCCACAAAAGTTGTTTTTTACTTTTTAAGTATCCAAGTAGTGAAAGCAAGTGTGATTTTACAATACAAGTAATCTACAAAGCTAAAATTGCATGGAATGAACTGACTGTGTGGAATCAATGTAAGTATGTAAGAGCGAAAGAGAGATCAGCTCTACTCTATTTAAATGCTTACTACGTAGGGGAGCTAGAGGCTTACTGTAACAGAGGTACATAGTAACACGCTGTTTTTGCTAAATATATAAACCTTATGTCATTTTTTTGTTAATTTCATTTCTATATCACGTATAGAATAACCCTATAGCAGTCAGCGTTCTACTAGACAACTCAGTGAGTAAATGTTTACACGTGTTTCAATTTGGTTAGGTAAAGTTAAATTTTAACTTCAATAAATGTTGCTTTTCACTGCTATGTTGTATCAATTCGCAGGGGTCTAACCGCGTGCTTCAATATACGCAATACGGTTCGAGATTTACCGTCACACCACCAACCTTATGACGAAAACGTAACAGAAAGTAAACTTTTTGATGTTCAAAGGTGTATTATGACGGTAAATCTCGAAAGCTATTGCGTATATCGGAGAACTTAATCAGACCCCTGGATTATTATTACTCTGGTAAAGACTGAATTTAGTCATTAATATTAGCTTCTTCAATGCTGTAAGCATAAAAAAAAAAAATGTCTAATAAAGCTTTCATATTCATCAAAAGTGACTTTAATTTGATTGTTACTACTTGCCCCCAAAGCTGCTACAACTCGTTACAACTAGCCACAATGAAGGGGAAAGTTGTACCAACTGATTTTTTTGGAAAAATATCGTATGTGATGAAAATTTAAAATTGAAAATTTCATTCCTTTTGTACAAAATCCTATAGAGAAGTTAAGCTATTGATTGGCACTTTTTAGATGTAAAGGTATAAAAAATATACTTAGTATTACTGTTTTTAGTGAAAACTGTTACAACAAGCCTCTAACTTCCCTACCTAGTAAGCTTCTCTCACCTCTCTATTGAAAAATACATCCATAAGTTGGCTCGGGCGTCTCGCAGCCAAGGTAGTTACCTAGTCTATATACAGAGCGCACCAAATCTTATCATTAGAGCATAATGACCAATAATGAATCTCGATCCATATCTCATCCCACATCTTTCGCTACTACCATTACAAGTTCTGAATGCAAAAACCTTCGCACGCGAGTCCCCATGACGGCGTTTCACAATAGCAGCTGCAATATACACGCCTTGTATAAACAAGTTTCGCATGTCCATGCGAGGTACGCGCATCTAGTGGCGTATAGTACCTTACAACACGCTTGTACACGCATCCTGCGCGGAGATAGAAAGGGTAATCCGCCAGGACAATAACTCTTTCTCTTCGTGCATGCAGGGGGAGGACAGGACTCTCCTCCCTCCTCGCGCCTCTGCACACTGTCGAGAAGAGGCTAGCAATAGGTGGGGGGATAGGCGTGGTTCGAGCGCGCAGGCGCCGTGCAGCAACGTCGACGACGCTGACGACGGCGACGACTAATACTCGAGGCGGGACTTGGCAAGCTCATCCGCGAGTCTCCGCGTAAGAGGAGCGAGAAAGACGGAGAGTTGGAAGACAAGAGCTCCCCGGGTCCGGCACAAGCTGATCCCGCTACCCTCGACGCGTGTGTGTACAAAATACGCACTCAGCGGGGCTCCGTCGTCGCGACAGCCTCGGGCGCTTTTCCGGCGTCGCGTGCCGGCTCGCCCGATCCGATCGAGCATCGAAATCCAACGAGTCTCGCTCGATGCTGGTATCGCCGATCTCCCCGCGCTCGAAATTTCGGTCGCGGCAGTCACGCATTCATGTCCAGATAGTCGCGAGCCAATAGTACAGCCTCGGTGCACTCACTCGTACCATGTTCACGTAGTTGCCGGTGGGGTCGGTGGTGGGGGATATGATGCTAGTTCCGCCGTCGTCGATGGCCCAGTCCAAGATGCTGTACCAGATAAACAAGTTCTACACCGAGAAGGTCCAGGCCCGCAAAATGCACATACAGAGAACGATCCGGGACATCTGCAAGATCGTCCAGGACGTCCTAAAGGAGGTCGAAGTCCAGGAGCCGCGTTTCATATCGACCCTCAGCGAGTGCAACGGGCACTTTGAGGGCTTCGACATCATATCCCCGGAGGAGTTCGAGATAACGCTCTTCCTTAACCAGATGGGCATCTTCAACTTCGTGGACGATGGCACCCTACCCGGCTGCGCGGTCCTCAAGCTCAGCGACGGCCGCAAGAGGTCCATGTCCCTCTGGGTGGAGTTCATCACTGCGTCGGGCTACCTGTCCGCCAGGAAGATCCGGTCGAGGTTCCAGACCCTCGTGGCCCAGGCGTGCGACAAAAGCGCCTACAGGGACAGGGTGAAGATGATGGCTGACACGACGGAGGTGAAGCTGAAGATCTGCGAGCGTTTCGTTGTCCAGATCACGCCGGCGTTCAAGTGCGCGGGGGTGTGGCCAAGATCCGCGTCTCACTGGCCAATACCTCACGTACCCTGGCCTTACCCGAGCCTCGTGGCCGAGGTCAAGACCGAGGGCTTTGACCTGCTGTCGAAGGAGAGCGTGTCAATGCAGGGCAAGCAGTCGGCTATGGAGGGGGATGCCTGGGTGTTGTCCTTCAGCGAGGCTGAGAATCGACTGCTTCAAGGCGGCTGTCGCAAACGGTGTCTGAGCATCCTGAAGGCGCTGAGGGACCGGCACTTGGCCAAGGCGCCTGGGAACCCGGTGAGCAGCTACCACATGAAGACTCTGCTGATGTACGAGTGCGAGAAGCACCCGCTCGAGACGGAGTGGGACGAGTCGAGTTTGGGTGACCGTATAAACGGGATATTCCTGCAGTTGATCTCGTGCCTGCAGTGCAGGAGGTGTCCGCACTATTTTCTACCGAATTTGGATCTGTTCAAGGGAAAGTCGCCGAGTGCTCTGGAAAACGCGTCCAAGGTCGTCTGGGGACTTACGAGGGAGCTACTGATGAACAGTCGTGCTTTCGAGAAACTTTAGCTTGGGAATTTCATTGGGAATATTAAAAACGTTTTTGTTTGTATTTATACGTGTACAAATTTGTTTATTTATTTATTTATTTACTTATTTGTTGACTTTTTTTATGAATCTAAATGTATGTATTCTGTTGAAGGTGCGTGGGCAGTCGCGGTAAGTGTTTGTGATGAATCAACTCAAGCTATTAATATATTCCGAGAAGTAAATGATTGAGTGTACGAGTTTATGTTGCTTTCAAGTACATGCATTGTTTTACTTCGATGCTCCACTGTAGTACACGTACGTCTGTATGAGAAGTGAAGAATTTGTGATAGACGATATTACTTCAAAGACTATTCGTTATACTAAAGACTAAAATAATTTTTAAATTGTTCGACGTTAAGAAAAGTGAAAAAAAAAGCTGCACAGAGTTAAAATATATTATTTAAAAGGGTAAATTAAAGAAACACGTTGATGTTGCAATACCAGGATAATTCTGAGTGTTAATAATATTACTCTGTTAGTGCAAATAAAATATTTTCTATGTTTTTTGAAATAGGTGCTTTTTTAATAATATTAAAACAGTAATATTTACGTAAAAGATATTTACTAAGATCATCAGAGTATGTGCATTTAAATTTACAAGCTATTGTAATTTTGTTTGTTTAATTTTGCACTAGAAAATTTTATACGACTATTTTCATACCACCGCTAATGTAATACTTGTACAATTTGTGTAATGCATAAGTCACGCCATGTATGTTAAATATCGTAGTTATTCGAAAAAATATAATATATATACGTCTTCGTGTTAAGACATCATTCCAAGCTTGTTACTTATTTTTGAGTACTGTGAATAAGTAACGAATACTGTTGATTGTAAATAGATGTTTACGTAATTTTTAAATAAAAAATTTGTTTCTTTTATTACGTAAGAATATTATTGCACTGGTCAAGAGATGTAATGTAAATAACAATAAAAGCATTATAAATTGGATGTAACTTAAATCTTTATTTTTTCCTGCAATATTGGCCTCTAAATTTTAGAAAACAAATTATTCGTCTAGCCCAATAAGAACAACAATAATTATAAAAACAAAAAATTTTACTTGAAAATTACTTTTTAGAACTTGTTAATTTATTTACACTAATGAGCGCGAAATTCATGCGAACAAAATTATCAGCGAAAAAAAGTGTCAAGGCTTTCTTGTCAAAGAGTGCCGTTAAAGTGGATAGCATAGCAATACGCAGCTATTGTCGTGTGCGACTGCGATAAGAGTTTTAAACCGGTTTCCCGCAACGTAATTATGCCCATTTGCATGGTCCATAGTTAAGCTTTATAAAAAGCAATGTAATGTTGTTTACTGAGTTTACAACGCATTTGTGTACTTTTGTTGCTAATTTAGATAAGGAAGTCATTTTCTTATCTCAAACTTTTTCTTCTGATCTGTTTTTGCTACTTCACAAGTAATAAAGCAATACAAAGATATTATGTGTTGAGAAACATCCAAAAGTAGTTAAATCCCACGTAAGATACGTACAGGCCCGCAATGATACCAGCATCGGCAACTGAATTTTAAAACCTCCTTTTCAATCAATATTCATGAGTTTATACATTTATATAAAAGCGGAATTCAGTAGTTTTTTAGTTCAACATTAAAATTTAAAAAAAAGGAAAAAAAAACAAAACAACGATTTGATGGAAGCTTACCACTAAAAAAAACCTGCAATAATACCCTAATTTACACCAATTACATTTTTTAAACTATTTTTATTGTTGTTATTACTACCACTAGCATATGTACAGATTCCATTTATTTCATGTATTAAATAAAAGATATGTATTTAATATTAATGCCAAGAGGGTTATACAGACAGATATTTTACGTCATTTTGTTTTTACCATATTGTATTAGTAATGACGTCTTTCAAACTTGTCAAATTCTACTTATCGGACTTTATTATATAATTTCCATATCACAGGAATCATAAAGATTAGGCTGATCCACCATTTTGTGTCAACTGCATTCAGTACTATACGTTACACAGATTATTGCATTCTAACTGTATCTCTAATATTGAAGTTTCACATCGACCAAGTTGTAAAAAACAGTGCATCCGCCGTTTTGTGGTTCTCATCTGTGGGTATAACTTTGTTTTTTTTGGATAACCAAAAGTTACAAAAAACCAATTGCCAGATTTGTATAGGACAACAGGTTGACAGAAATTTAAATGAATTATAAAAATAGTTACCATCTCGTTCGAAATTTGTACCATCTTGAAGTCTACAGATGGTAGTATGTTGATATTCAGGTTAACAGTGACATAATATTATGTTTTTAATTTAAAAGTGATATTTGAACTTACAAGTTTTAAGAAGAATTATTTCGATTTATAAATTAGAAAAGGTATTATTTACATTTTTAGTTTTGAGAAAGTATTATTTTTTATACCAAAATTATGATAAGTAGTTCAGTAAAGATACAACGTCGATTCTGAATTTCTGTAAGATATCACATGACTTGAAGATGTAAGAAGTTACTGCCGAAATTTTTGAAAAGAAATCGTTGAGATTTTAAATTTTGCAAAAGTTCTATATTCAATATAAAAAGGAAGAAAGAGCTAAATGTTGAGTTTAAGGATGACTACCTACTATCTCGGTTGATACTTTGTAAAAAGTATACTTTTGACTTTTTTAGTATTGTTTATTTTTTTAGCTTAGATAAGGTACATCTTCAAACTTGTGTTATTTTATTTTGTCTGATAATATTTTTGAACTTGGAAAATATACTGACCCCTTTTAAGTGGGATAACGTTTTTGACTCTATTAAACTTTGAGTTTAATAAGGTTACTATTTAGATTTTTTATCCTAAATAAAAACCGCACTATTTTTTGTAGACCGCACATACTTGCTTTCTCTAAACAGCATGCGTTTGTGTGTCATGTGACACTAATATTATTATACATCTATATTATTGTGCACCAGTTATCGCGGACGTGATTTTTTGTCATACAAATGTAAAGTTTTTAAGACTATTAGGAACTAAAGTTCAATTAACTAGGTACTCTATATCTTGATTTAATAATTTCAAGTGTTTACTAGCCATAACTCGTCAGTTCAATTAAAATATACGCATTATTCGAGAGTTTCGCAATAACTGGAGCAACTGCAACAATACCCTCACTTACTCCTAGTTGTCATAATTGCTCAAAAGAAATTTGTTTCAAAAACTTTAAAACTTGATTTAAAAACTTAGAGCTTTGGAAACACTGAAAAATAATAGACTACAATGAAAAAGAACCATGAAAATAAGTTTTGATATAAGAGTACCGTAATTGTAAAACAAAACGTGCAAAGATTGTACTTATAGTGACATACACGTGGCCAAAAGAAAGAGCTGTTTTCAACCTTTTGACACTATGAATAAAAACTCATTCATCAATTTTCTTATTTCAATGGATCTTTTAATGAAAAAATCGTAACAGTGTCATTTTCGCACCGAAAAGTCAAGGTACTGTTTTTTTCACCAAGGTATCGATGTACCAAAACCTCTACCGTACGGGAAAACAAGCCAAAACTGCAAATAAGTGCCAATTTTTTCGACTATCAAGACTCGCCTTGGCACAAAGCAATGTTCCCGTGGAAAAGCTTGCAAGCCCTGCCTTGAGTCGAAACGAAACAAAGAGCCAAGAAAAAGATGGCACCCCTGACCAACAACATCGGGGGGAAAGAAAATGAGCAGAGGTCGCTGCTGCGCATAACTCAAACACGACAAAAGAGTGCCGACGTCTACGTGCACACCCATACACCCAGCCCAGAGGGGGTGAGCCCTCAGCGTCGGACGACTCCTCTTTCCACCTCACTCCCGCCCTTTGAGCTGCTCACCGCATAAAATACAACCCGGCGGTACCTCTATATCCCTCGGCCTACCGTTCCATAAAGTTACAACTCCTGACCGGTAGAGCGGAGCCAGGAAGGGGATGAAAATATATATTCCTCGGGTCCCGGTATAAATACCCACACCCTGCACCAGCCACGGATCGATGGATGCAAAGGTGTACACACGGAGAGGAGGAAAGGGCGCGGCCACCAGAGTCGGCCGATTGGCCGGGACGCAGACGGAAAGACTCGGAAGGCGGAGCTTACCGTCCACCGAAGAAGAGAACGAGAGAGGTGGTGGCAGCAGACGCCGGCGCATTTCGCCAGAGCTAGCGCAGACGGACTCGAGAGAGCAGCCGGGAGGGACTCTCTCTCTCTCCGTTCGCTCCCTCGCCGTTCTCTCTTTCCACAACCAACCGGCGGTGGATGTCAGGATCCGCTGACCACTGTCGCAGGAAATCGACGTACAGTTTTAAACGGTGTTGGACGCGAGTGTTTGAACTTCCGGTCGATCGGTAGTAGAGACAACGATGACTCCCTCGTCGCGGTTCGCGTGAATTTCGTTCGTGGGCAAGGTGCTTTTCCAGTGGTAAGGACAATACCAGCCACGGAACTTTAGTTAGACAAAATGCTAGTGCCGGCTGATATGCTCTCGGCCCAGACCAAAATGGTCTACCAGATCAACAAATTCTTCGCGGAGCGCGTCATGTCCAGAAAGGCCCAGATCGCCAAGACCATCCAGGAGGTCTGCCGGGTCGTCCAGGACGTCCTGAAGGAGGTCGAGGTTCAGGAGCCACGCTTCGTTTCCTCGCTGACCGACTACAACGGCAGGTTCGATGGCCTCGACGTCATCTCACCCACTGAATTCGAGATCGTCATCTACCTCAACCAGATGGGCGTCCTCAACTTCGTGGACGACGGCACCCTACCCGGCTGCGCGGTCCTCAAGCTCAGCGACGGCCGCAAGAGGTCCATGTCCCTCTGGGTGGAGTTCATCACTGCGTCGGGCTACCTGTCCGCCAGGAAGATCCGGTCGAGGTTCCAGACCCTCGTGGCCCAGGCGTGCGACAAGTGCGCATACCGGGATGTGGTTAAGATGATCGCGGACACGACAGAGGTGAAGCTGAGGATCCGCGAGCGCTTCATCGTCCAGATCACGCCGGCGTTCAAGTGTGCAGGCCTGTGGCCAAGATCCGCGTCTCACTGGCCCATACCCCACATACCCTGGCCCCACCCGAGCCTCGTGGCCGAGGTCAAGACCGAGGGCTTCGACATGCTCTCGAAGGAGTGCATTGGCCTCCAAGGCAAGCAGTCAGCCATGGAGGGCGACGCTTGGGCACTGTCGTTCGTCGTGGCTGAGAATCGGTTGCTGCAAGGGGCAAGCCGGAGGCGGTGCCTGAGCATCCTGAAGGCGCTGAGGGACCGGCATCTTGAGATACCAGGTAACCCGGTGACGAGCTACCACATGAAGACGCTGCTGCTCTACGAGTGCGAGAAGCACCCACACGAGGCCGAGTGGGACGACGTTTGCCTCGCCGACCGTATAAACGGGATATTCCTGCAGCTGATCTCGTGCCTTCAGTGCAGGAGGTGTCCGCACTATTTTCTGCCAAATTTGGATCTGTTCAAAGGGAAGTCGCCCAGTGGACTGGAGAACGCGGCAAAGGCTGTCTGGAGATTGACGCGGGAACTGTTGACCAACAGCTTGGCCCTGGAGCAGCTGTAATGTCGTTTTGTTTTTCTTTTTCCTTTGCTCTTTTTTTCCGAGGAGATTTTCATGCTTTGATTTGACGACTTAAAACTTTGTTCTGTGATGCCGTGTACGAGCCCGCGCGCGACTCGGGAAGAGCCGCGTGGAACCATTGTCAATGTACACGTACGTGTATTTATAGATATTAGTGCCATAAATTCGGGTGTGTTATGTTTGAAAACCGAGTGAGATCGTTTGTTGTTGTGCTTTTTATCCTTTTTTTTTTGTTTGTCGCTGTCTTTGGTTACGCGGTTGTTACGAGGAATGAAACCAAAATAACGAGACGGGAAAATTTTCTGCTGCAAAGCGAGTCATTGAGCAAATAAAAATTGTTTGCGTTGTTATTAGTGATTTTTTTTTTCTTACTAATCGAGTGCAGTGAAGACAGTATACGTTAACCGGAGAACTTTGGAGATGCAATAGTCGAGTGGAAAAGAAGATAAGAGTATAGTTTTTAAACACTATCAGTTTTTTCGAGTTTTATAATCAACGAAAAGAAAAGCACCGATCCGAGTAGTGTTTGACATCACCGAAGCGACGGCCAACGTCAAGTGTTACACGTGACGCTCCGTGGCATAGGAGATGGATCCTACTTTTCAGCTCTTCTGCCACTGCCAAAATGTTTATATCTTCATACGTGTTCTTTATTACGTGTTTTCTAACTTTACTAAATCTATAGTAAAATGTGTACCTACTGTGCGCAAGTGTAAGAAAGACTTTGAAAAAATGTCGCACTGCAGGACAAAAGAGTAAATTGGCTTTAAAAAATTTGGTTATTCCTCCGTACTCTTTGTATCTCGCTTTTGTAAATATTATATTATTGAAAACAAAAATTATTTATTGAATTGTAACGAATTTCCAAAAATACATCGATATTTATATGACGTGAGTTGTTTTTAATTTTCTTACACCCTGCAACTTTTTTTGCATTGGTCTATACATGTTTGTTGCCGACCGTTCGACTAACTCGGACACAGGGAATATTCTGACATTGTTGAGTTTTTCAACAACATTAATTTTTTTATTATGAAGGTGTCAGTTTAAAAAAGTAAATAAAATATATGCAAGATAGCATGACTTTTCCTTTGCGATATCATCCATTGCCTGCACCAAAAGTGAGGACATTGAACGCCTTAAAAATAAAATTATACTGTCCTCTTAAGTCTTGAATGCAATTTTGATTTCTCTCTCGGCTGGCAATGAAACATCTCCTCTGTTATTTCAGGGTAAATAGTGTGAAATACCAATCAAGATAAGAGATGTCGTTTAATAGTAAATGTGAGGACAAAAATCTCTTCTATAAAAGGCCACTACGGTTCTTAATCCACAGAGGGATATAGTACTTTTGCCTCTGGAAACGAGGAATAAACATAATAAAACACTTTCAAGATATACTTAAGATATTAGATAACCAAATTTTACAAAGTGACTTACAAAAAATATTTTCCTCTGTTTCCTACGCTTAGTAATTAGTTGCTCATGTACCATTTACTGATTCCTAAAATTATCCCCTTTTAAAAAATGGATTGTCACGTGACTGAAGCCTTTTCATTCGTTGCGTAATTGGTTGAAATATATTGAAATAGATCAAATTGTTCGGGGAGATTTTTTTAAGTTTAATGGCATTAAATAAGAAGAAAATTAAAACAGAATAAGTTAACAGTAATACTACAATCATGAGTAATACCATACAATTTTTGTTGCTCTCGAAAAAATCAGACAAAATAACTTTGTTGATATAGTAAGAGTAAAATAAAATTAGTACGTCATTTTTTACGCCCTTCATAAAACAAACTACTTAACATCTATTTTTATTTTTAAAAAATTTGGGTTATTAATGATTACTAATTCATTTTTATCATGGCTTTTACATTTAAAATTGTGTCAAAAAGATTTGCATAATAGTTGTTAGTATAAAGGATGCATCGGTAAAATTTACTATGTACGTGTGCAAAAACCAAAAAATTAGCGGAAAAACTTAAACAAAGTTATGATTTCTCATACTAATGTGGTATTTTTTTTTAAACAATAAAAGTATCTGTTAAAGAAATCATATTAATTTCAATCTTTCACAGCGTGTTTAACATATCTAGTAATATTAAGTCTTAATGAAAGGCTTTATACGTAAATTATATTCATGATTGGTTAATTTAAGATCACTTACTTTCTGATTATAAAGGACTTTTTAAAAAATTTTTTAATTATTGTTCTTGTAAAGTGATCGTTATAAGCAATTGATTAGTTTTCGATTTAGTATTTTTAACCGAACATCGGTAACTTTTTATTAAGCCAATGATGTAAAAACCTTATGTGAGTATGTGAGATCTTTTATAAAAACATTCTTATAAAATTTACTAAGCATCTCACATGACTAGGTATAAAGATAAAGAGCTTTTTTTTTCTTTTTTTTTTTTTAATAGGAAAATAAATTTAAAAATTATTATTCTATTCAAAAGCTCTAACAATATACGTTAATTCTGTGAGTTCCAGACAAACCGATAAACTCCGTTTCTTTCAAAATTGAGTCAGGACCGCGAAGGATATCCCTTTTTAGTTTACTTTTGTCCAAACAAACCTTAGAAATGATTCGAGTTACCAATTTTCCGTAAACGGCACAATACCTACGCAATAAACTGCCATTTTCTTGGCCCAACCGATTAAGTGACTCTTGTCCCAGCCCAATCGAATAAGTGACGTAAGAAAATTGTTGGTGCAAAAAAAATTGATAATTTAATTTGCAGAAATCATGGAAAAGTATTGTATTTAGTCATTTTCACCGTAAGTATTTGGCTTTTGGAAATGATGATTTAAAGTTCTCGTATAGTATGCATGTGCATAATACAGTACGGTTTATGCGAGTCGCGTCACATTTGGGCTGTTGTAAGAAAGAAACTAGTAGCAAGACGTCAAATTTTTACCGCAATATACAAGAATAAGGGTAATATGCATTATTGAACTCCAATAGCCAGATATTTATAAGATTTTAAAATAGGGGGTATAAAATATGGGTGCCAAAGTCGGAACGATGCCGTAGAAAAGCCTACTCCTCTCGGAAATGTCAAAATTCATCTCTTAACCGAAATTTACTTTGGCAACTGGAGCTTAAGATTAATTAAAATACCTTTAATTCCAGTCCAAGCTTCGTTTCCGACAAAAAGTGGCTCATTCAAAATTGTATATGTAATTTTAAGCAGGAAAAAATGAACAGTGTTACTTTTCGTCGGGATCATTTTTTGTCGGCTAAACTGTACAAAGTACTACAGTCTATGTTTGAGTAATAAAAATCTACTGTTCGACAACAACTAATTAGCAAACAGGCATGGTATGTAAACTCGTGGTTAAATACGTTATTTTGTTAAATATTCATACATTTGAATAATCGAATAAGTTGTACGTTTCCGGCCTAACCGAGTAACTCCAACATCGACTCGTAGCAATGAAGTCCATTGCAGTTTTTGATTACCCACATGAAATGATAAAGTCTTGATGTCTTTTTAGCTAACGTTAGGTACAGCAGAAAACGTGCAGCTTCTATACTGTCAAATAGAAGCTTTTCAACCTCTGAAGCCATTTTTCTCGAAAATCACAAAAATAAAGTTAATCTGCTTGTCTGGGAAGTCACAGAATTAATAATTATTGTAAACATAAATGATGAGGATGAAATTTATAACTACCATATCTGAAAATAATAAAATTTTACTAACAAACATGCAGATAAATATTCTCTTAAAATGTAATCCCAGTAACGTCAATCCAAGAAGTGTGCGCACAAACTAAATCAATTATTGTAGTTGAAAAACATGTTTATTACAAGCTTGATTATTAATTTATTCAATTTCGATGAATGTACGCAAAGCAAGAAAACAAATCATTCTGATCTAAAGGTAGATTCAATGAAATTAAACGGATTAAAAAGTGTTAAATTACTTATAAACGTTAAGTAGTTATAAATTTGCAGTAAAACTTAAGTTTGAATAACAAAGCGCTGCGCAGTAAGACTTGAAAGCTTAACAACACGACTTGCACATGTCACAAACAAAACTAGCATTGGATCATCCACTACTCTACTCTCGACAATATACCAGAACGTGTTGCCGTATAAAATGGTTGTGCGAACTTGTAGAGCATACACCGAGATAGCAATTCCGTAGTTTTCAGCACAATGGTTCAAAATGCGGAAGAACTAGTACTGCTACGATCGTTTTGTTCAGAACGCATTTGTGTATATAAGTATGTATGTAATCTACTACCAGTGCTTTCGACCACAGTAAATAACTTTTGGATTTCCACAAATCGTTGTATCTCGTGACGTTCTGTGAAACATTCCTCGATTTTTTACTTGAAACTCACAGGTGCCTCCATCTTTACCCAAAATATATCTCTTAATGGGCAATCAAGTTTACATTCTAAAGTTTAAATCCCAAGCAAACAAAAAGCTCAATTGTTAGGAATGTATCATGAGAATTGGCAAACAAACACTTGCAAAAGTAGAAGCAACTGTAAAGGACAATCGGTTGGAAACGAGAGATCGAAAAAGTAGAAAAAAAAGAAAAAAAAAAATCAAAGCTTCCCAGCCCTGTCCTCATTAACATTTGCACGCATTAAGGCAGCCAAAGAAACATAGCTCGAAAGCTCCATCCCTGTGCCGATAACCAATTCACAATAGAACGAGATATACCTCTCCCGTTGTGGTGACGCGAGAGAACAATGCGAGAAGAGAAGCAACGTCGAGGCATTCGGTGATTGAGAGGCCCTCTCCTTTTTTTCTTGTCCCCCGATGCGGTCTTGATAATGTTTTCCTTTTTTTTTCTCTTTCGCAATATGCAAATCACGCGCGCCCTCCTTTTTTTTGCCATCCACGCACAAATACACGCGAGTGATCCCAATAAGAAGCCCTTATCCGGCGGATGGCCATTTATACGTCGCAGCCATAAACTTCGGGTTGAGCCGATAGAGCGTCCAGCTCGAGAAAAAAAGGGTACAGGAAGAAGAGAGAGCATGAAAAAAGGAAGGTAGAAAAAGTGCGCCACCAAACCGACGGAGACGGGGCAAGGGAGTCCAGCGCGCACCCACACAGACGCTGCGAAAAAGCGAGCACACGGTCGGAACATTGTAATTGGAGGGTATGGCGCGTGTGTGCGTGGAAAAGGCCAGGGGTATCAATCGGAGGGACAAAAGGATGGGCAAAAGAGAGGCTGAACGAGCGGCAGGACATTCGGGAACGGCGAAAAATCGAGCCGTGGCTTGTTCTGCTTTTGCCGTTGATGCTGTTAAGTGCTGTTACTTCATTCATAAAACATTGTGCTGCAGTGCGGTTCTGGTTTGCTTGCGGTATTCCTGCACACGCCGATGTTCTCTGTGAAATTCAGTGAGTCAGGATATGTACTTAACGCTACGGGTTGTGGTGTGTTGGAAACAGCGATCGATAAATATTATTGTGTTTTTTCCAACGTTACGAATGAACACATCGACTCTTATTGCTTAAACAAAATAATGTAAAGTCTTTCTCAAACATTCAAAGTATATCACTTCTCAATTTGTATCAAGTATGAATTATAAGATTTTGAACCAGAGGGTTTTAAATGCAAAGGTTCCTTCATTTTTTCTTTTTTTATAAATTTTGAAGTCTCATTTCGTCAAAGCAATAAAAATAGTAGTCCGTTTACTTTGAAATTTTTTTCAAACTTTCATCAATTTTCATAAGATCTTTAACTTTTCTTAATTAATATTGCCAAATATAAAATTGTAGCAGTTTAGTGGCTGAGATATATCACTGGTTAACGTAGCATTTAGTTAAAATAATAATATAAGCTAATTTTTCTCGTAATTTATTTTAGTACAGATGAACTTAATAACTTACATTTGCCAAACATTTTAATAACAT